TCTTTCTGTGCATCTACCCTAGTCTTTAAAATAACTCAAATCTGACATTCACTAAAACCTGCTTAGCCTCCAGAGCACAATCATCTTTCTTCCTTTGAACCTAGAAAACAGCTATTACTATCTGAAAAATAAATATCCTAACATTTGATTGTTAACTATCATCCTCTAATTTTTAATGACATTAGCTCTTGTATATTAAGATTCTTGAGCACAGACATATCAGACGTTTTCACTATAATTCTAAGGGTGACCTGCTAAGCATACAGTAAGCCTAGATTTGACAGTACTTGTTTTTCTACCTGTTCAAGTCATCCTCAAATTACTAACAATGAATGCTTTGTTCCTTAAGTACATCGTAAATCCCAAAACCAAAAATATCTAAATGATTCAAACTTACCATAGGGCCGGGGATTTAGCTCAGTGGTTTTGCTGCCTGCTGCGCAAGCTCAAGGACCCGAGTTCAATCCCCGGTACCAAAAAAAAAAAAAAAAACTTGCCATAGGCTCAGCTTCTACTTAAAGAGGATACTACAAACACGTGATGTTAAGGTATCTTAGGCAAGTAATGTAACCTCTCTAAACCTAAATATTATTGTCTATAAAAGAGAATACATCTCAGGTTGATATGAAAAGTTAATGAGATAATATAAAGCATTTAGCACAGGGTCTGACATATAATTCTTGCAAAATGCCAGCTACTATTATTTCCTGAGGAAAAAAAACTAGAAAATAAACTTTTTCTAGAGATTAAATTTAAGTAAAGCAACAAGGAAATAGTTTAGGAATTTACATATCCAGGGGGGAAAAAACTAAACAAAGACAGAAAGATTTCTCTAATTGAATCAAATTCTGTAGGCTTATTATTTTTTATAAGATCACTTTAAACAGGAATAGGGTTAACTTTACTAGTCAAAACCCCTCAAAACAACAAAACCCCAATGTGTAATGGTAGTTGTGAAAGGGGCTCAAGAATCCGTGCGGTCTCGGGGCCAGGAATTTAGCTCAGTGGTTCCACTGCCTGCCTGGAAAGCGCAAGGTCCCAAGTTCCATCCCCGGTACAAAAAAAAAAAAAAAAAAAAGAATCTTTGTTGTTTAAACAGTATATAGGGCCTAAACAAAGAATGTAGGTCCAAATAGCTGCTCTTAACCACCTGCTGATTAGATTACAATAATAAAGTAATTTAAATTCTCTAATCCTAGTTTTTCACTTGCAAAATAAAGCAAAAATAATTGTCACAGTTAAACAAGGTAAATAAATTCTGGTCACCAGGTTCTTGGTTAGTTAATGAATGTTTTCCTTCTGTGTTTAAAAATAAAAATTCTGAACTTAGGGCCGGGGATTTAGCTCAGTGGTTTCGCAGGCGCAAGGACCTGAGTTTGATCCCCGGTACCAAAAAAAAAAAAAAAACCTGAACTGTATTTAATAATAACACTAGAAAGTTCACTAGATACAATCTATGTACAATTCAAAGACAACATAGGTATTTCAACACAAAATGAGCAGGCAGAAAAGATCATCAGTAAAGGAGAAAAGATTTTAGCTAAATAAGAAAATCTGATTTCTCAACAGGAGTATGTGTTACACATGAAACAGCACGCAACACATAAACCACCAAGGTTTAAGAATTCACTGAATGCTTTTCAGTTAATAAGATACTATGAATGTTTCTGCCTTTGGAGATGGATAAAGAAATAGCATTATTATTAAACATTACATACAGAATTCATGTAAGAAATATGAGCTTCCTAATGTATGCCTTTCTGCATCTACCTCACTCCACCCCACTACTCTCAAACAAGATCACCCTGATCAAGTAACTTCTGGAATGTGCCCACAGAATGAATTAAATACACTTCTCATTCACTGATTCCAACAAAATATTTATGCTTACATTTTTAAGACTATTGCAAAGTTAATTAGGAAATTTCTTAATTCACTCTACATCAGAATACATGCAAGATTCCTATCACAAAGTGATATTAATCTTTGCTATTATAATCAATGAAAATAGTTTGTCAGTGCATTGTTTCATCAGGAAAAAAGACATCAAAAAAGTAAATTCAAAATGAAAAGCTCTGTAACCCAGCTATGACACAATAAAAGTACATAACGGGTTCCCTTATTTGGGATGAATGTTTTAGAAACGTGGGTTTCTAAACAAAAACACACAGAACCAACCAAAAAACCCACTTAGGACAATTTTACCTTTCCAAACATAACAATTTTTTTAAAGCTTTAAAAATTGCTTTCTCATCAATATAATTTAGTTTTGGTTTGGTGCTGGAGATTGAATCCAGGACCTCTAGCACGCTAAACATGTACTGTGCTCTACCACTGAGCTACACTCCCAGTCCCTGCAGTTTAGTATTTAAGTAACCAGCTCTGTCGATAGGAATCAATGTGCCCAAACTTTATTCTACAATGTTTTTCTAATATAGACAAAAAAGCATGTAGATCTGTTATCGACATGGAGTATTTCTTTTAAAATTCTTTCCAAAATGAGTATTTTCATTCCTGACCTGAATCTAGATGTTCTTTTATGCTGAATTATCACTAATTGAGTAATTATAATTAGAGACCCAAGGGATGAATGCATTCTTTAACCCATAATGTATAAATTATTGGTGCACAATTTGCATTTGAGAACCACAATATTTCGGAATGTAAAAACTTTTATTAAGCCCATTCTTAGATGCTTATTTATCTCTGGCCCAATCTGCTATCCTTTATGTCCTAATAAAGCTGAAGGTGTATTTTCCTAAAAGTTGCATTTAATAGGGAACTGGGAAAGCTACAATGGCTCTGACAATCAAAAAAAATGAAACTCAAAAAGAGGGAATTTCAGACTGTGACAGATGGTAAAAAATAGTAAGGGAAAAGGGGGACTTAATCAGTTCCAGTCAGATGATAATGAATATGCAGTTAACAAACACTCCTCTTGCAGTGAGACCAAAGGAGTAATGTAATAATAAAGTATAGTGAGATATTAAAATAGAAATATCCGACATACAGACTGAACCCCTCTCCATTCTTTCCAGTCACTCAGCATGTATTTCAAATTCAAGGTTGCCCTTTAGAAAAAAAAAAGTTCACTTAAGGGCAATTAAGCTCAATGAAATATCTCATACACTAATTCAAAACTAACCAAAATCGTACTCCGAATGGGAAAATGGAGACAGAGAAAGTAGCATCCTACTTAACATGTTATTTGAGGGATAACTATACTATTTTACTGACGATCCAGTAATTTCTAAAGCATAATTATGTAGCAGCATTTGTCACTTTACCACAACATACTTGAAAAGTCCAATTCACTTAGGCCAAAATTAGTTTCAAAACTGATCCTCAACATAAAAACTACCCACCAATTAGACTAAGAAGGGAATACTGGTTCATGGAAATAAGACTGGATTTTAAAAATTAACTTTAATAAAATGCACAGAGTTCCAAGGCAAAAATAAGCTAGTGTTTTCCAAGGGAAAATATTAAGTCAGTTGTTTCCTGATGCCTGATGAGTATTTTAGAAACTGTCACGCTAGCATAAAGTTATAAGACTGAAGATTAGAGAAATTTTACAAAAAGTAAATTTTGAGGGGAAAACCACCTTTTACGTAAGGATAGTACGTTGAGTAAATAAAAAGGGGAGAAACTAACAATCACGCCCCACCCTCAAAAAATGTTTTGGCGACTGAGATGTAATCAGTACAGGCAAAAAGAAGACTAGAAAGAAAAAGAGAAAAGGAGAGGGCAAAGGAAAAGCAAGCAAGCAACTTACAATATTTCAACATAAAGCAGTCATTCAACATTTTAAAGTATTGTGTACTGGGTAAATACAGTGTGCTGTAACCTTCTAAAATGTCTATTAATACAAAAAGATCACTTTAAAGCTCTTCTTTATTTTAGTAAGGTGCAGTACATACATATCAGGAACAAGTACTTGCACATTAAGCAAATTCCTTTATACCTTTATACCTTGTGCCTTCAAGACACCATTCAGAGAATGAACATATATAACTTAAGTTTTCCAGGGTGCGCCACTTCCCTCCCAATGGAACACAAGAATATTTTATGTTCAAATAAACTGATAGCTAGGACCGGTAATTTAGTCCCTTTGCAACCTGCTTAATTTTGAAACTTCTAAAAAGATGTGTTCACGGTGGAAACGAAAAACTACCTTATAAGGCTATGAAAGACTGAAAGCAGGAAGCGGCTTTGACAAAACTAAGGAAGTTGCAGCACGCTTGCTCACTGGGGGACTTTTTTGAGGCAAGTGAAGTAACACATGACATCTTTCTCTCAAATTAAAACGTGACTGGGTTCACCGGTAAAAACGCAGTGGCAGATGGAAATGACCGGGAGTGGAGTCGTAAAGAGGAGGTGGGTGGTCGGTCCAAGGAAAGCCCCACGCTAGGTTCCCATTTTCAGAATCCGATTCTTCCCTTTCCCCACCCACACCCCAGGCGCTGTTATCACAGCAGTCGTGCAAAAGCTACAAGGAGCGCTTCTCTTTCCTAGCTTCTCCGCCAGGCCGGTCCCCACGGTCACCGGCAGGAAGGGGCAAGGGAGGAAAGGAAAGCCGGGTGGGCCGGGCTCGGCGCCCACCCCGCAGAGCCTGCAGGCCCCGGGCGGCGCTGCCCACCGCGATGGGGGAAGGGCCGGGAGGGTCGCTCAGTGCAGCCGCTCCCAGCCGGGCTCTCGCCGGCGCCGCAGCCCGGGCCCCAGCTGGACGAAGCGGGGAGACGAGGGAGGCGCTGGCTCCGGGCCCCAACCCTTGCAAGCCGGGCTGCTGCACCATTCATCCCCCGGCTTCCTCCCTCCCCCGCCATTTTCCTTCCTCCGCCTCAGTTTCCCCAGCCCAGCCCGTCAGCCCCCTTACCCCGTGCCACAGTCCACCACACAGGCCGGCAGCCGTCCCGCCATCTTCCTCCGCTCCTGCTGCTGCCGCTGCCGCCGCCGCCGTCTGCTCCGTGCTGCTTGGGGCCAGGAATTGGCGGCAGGAGATGGGAGCTATCTGACCATCCACAGCTGGGCTGTCCTCTCCGTCCCAGGGGTAGCTGGGAAGCCGAAGCAGTAGCCTGAAAGCAGCAGGCTGGGTCAGCAGCTACCACTTCCGCAACCCAGGCTGGCAGGCAGTCCCCGCCCTGCCCCGCCGCGGCCTCCTCCCCCTCTCTCTTTTCTCCTCCTCACTCCTGCCCCCACCCTACAACTTCTTCCCCTCACGCCGCCTTTCCCCGGGAAGCCAATATGGCCGCCGGTGCCGACGCCCGGCCAGGCCAGGCCCAGGCGGCGAGCGCTCCCCCTTCCGGCTTCGCCTGACGGGGGGAGCATGCGCAGTGAGGTGCGGGCGCGGGCCGTCGCTAAAGTCTGACGTTCGGAGAGTCCGCTTCGGGTTTTCCAGCTGGGTAACCACGGAGAAGCTCACTTCAGCTTCCAGGTCTGCTTTCGGAAGCTGGAAGGGGCTCCTGCGTTCTACTCTTACGTTTCAGTCCTTTTATGCTACAGTGAAAAAGGATTGGAAAGAAGTGTGCCCCGCAACCTTACAAATACGGAGAAAAAGCTCAAGGACCCGAGTTCGATCCCGGTACCAAAAAAATAATAATAATAATAATAATTACGGAGAAAACATTATCATTGAAAACGTTGTCAGGCCGCATGCAGCCATTCTCGTAACTCGGGCAGCTGCTTCTTTGGGTGGAGAAGGGCAGTGTGAGAGCGCGGGTGAGCTGAGAAACAAAGGCTTTAGAAGGCAGCGCCCCAGGACAGGCCTCTCAGAAACGGGTCTACACAGCTTACATAAGTGGGCCTTTATTTAGTCTTCTGGATGATGACAAAGCTTTCTCTCTGGAATAGAGAGGCTCTAGGATCGGGATGGTATCTGGGATCCGTGGAGGAAAAGAAAATTTTTAAAATTACAACCTGGAAAGCCTAAAGCAATGGACCAGAATCACCTGGGAGGTTTGTTTAAAAAACGTTGCTGAACGACATCTGCGGAGTTTTTGGTTAATCAGGCAGTAGTGGGGCCTGAAAATTGGCGTTTTCATAAATCTCCTCATTTCTCAGTTTGGAAACCTCCAAGTTTAATACCTTTCCTCCCCACCAGGCTTCTCTTCTGGTAAACCTTCCTGAGTTTGTTGATAGGAGACTAATAAAAATATATTTCATTAGAATGTTTTACTCAGTACAGAAGATGGCATAATGTATTAATCTGGGCGGAGGGGCAGGAATACGGAATTTTCATTCATGGATTTGACAAAAGTGTTGCTCACCTACTCCGTTGACTATATTAACCAGAAATATTCAGTGGGGCGTGAAATATATGAGGACTCTGTTCTCGCAGTTTACAGATTAATGGAGAAACAGACGAATCGTATTAAGAACAATAGGAAAAACGCAGAAGACTACTAGAAATGGGGGTGAGGAGTAGGAGAATGGAAAGGAGGTGGAAGATAGGGAAAACTTCTCTAACCAAAGACTATTTCAAAACTAAGGCCTAAAGATGATAGGAGATAGGGGAAGAGCTGAGGAAGAAAGACAGTCTGTGTTGGCATTAAGGACCTGAAACAGGGATGGCTTCTGCCACAAATTGGAAGAAGTGAAGAGAGCCTGGGAAGATGCAATGGGAAGCAAAGCCAAGAGATAAGATAGACTTAAACAGTGCAGGAATTTGGAGACTGCTGTAAGAGCAACTTGATGCTATCGAAAGAATTCAGTCCAAAAAAATGCTGTGGCTGCTTTGTTTGAGAATGGATCCCCCAGAATCTCAAGAGTTAATCATACCTTGTGTACTGGAGTTCAGGGTTAGAATGATGTGCAGCCCAGCATCCAAATGAAATCAGATAAATGGAGAAGAGACTCACTAAGGAGTGTCAACTTCATCTGGTGTCCAGTGGGTCTATGGAAGATTACATACGCGGTTTCTCAGACATTGTCTTCAAGAAGTCAAACAGAAGTGGTTCTTTCAGACACATCACCGTTGGGTTTTCCTTTACATTTTAGAAGATGCTAGGTTATTTGCTGCTCTTCCATTACTGGATACTTAGGGTCTATGCTAATGGGGAAGCATGTGCTTCAAGATTAATTCTGACAGAAAAGGTGAGTATGGCTTTCTTTGTATGGGTAGAATAAATGGTTGTTTTCACCAGTTACAAGTAGTTTGATTAAGTTGGGAGTGAAGAATCCTACCAAAGGGGTTACAAGGTTAGTGCTTAAGAGTTAGGATCTTGAAATCACCCAGGGCAGCAATGCTGGTGGCCCTCAAAATGGCTACCTACACTCTGGTCTTGGGTGGTTATCGGAAATAGTTACATCAAGAGTCAGAAACCTGAGTACCTGCAGGTCCAGGGTAGTAATATGAGTGAAGTGGGCCGTGAGGAGGGTGTTATAGTGCACAGAGCCCATGCCCTGATAGAAGGCTCTGAATCGCCAGAGCCTTTTGTTTTTTGTTTTTTTCCTTCCCCTGGAAAAATCTGAAATCTTTATTTTTATCTTTGGTAACTGGATGGTCTGAATGTGTCCCTCAAAGTTACTGGAAATGTAATCCCTAATTGCAACAGTGTTGAGAGAGTATCTTTAAAGAGGTAATTAGGCCTTGAGGGCTCTGCCTTCATAAATGGATTAATACGGTTTTCTTGGGAGTGGGTTCCTTGTAAGAGCATGTTTGGTCCACTTCCCTTTCTAGCACCAAAGGGATACCTTCCACCATGTTATGACAGCAAGAGTGCCAATCCCTGGATCTTAGACTTCCCAGCCTCCCGTATTGTGATAAATAACTGTTCTTTATAAATTATTCTCTGGTATTCTGTTATGGCAACACAGAACAGATTAAGTAAATAATTGTTTTCTTTTTTCTTTTTTTTTTTTTTTGATACCAGGGATTGAACTCAGGACCTTGTGCTTTCAAGGCAGGTGGCAGAACCACTGAGCTAAATCCCAGGCCCCCAAATAATTGTTTTTTTATGGGTCTCATCTGACCTGTGGGCTGCTATTTTGTCACTTTTAATTTTAGAGACTATATATGGTTTAGCTGTCTGTTGCCTTCAAATAGGAAGCTATGTACTATCTCATTTCAAAAGCATGAGGAAACCTATTAGTCTCTCTCACAACATAGTCAAGTTGGTCCTGTGTTTGGGAATGTGGTAACTTGTTGGAAGCATTTGGAAGCTTCCAGTGCTTGTTAGAAATACTATTTGTACTTGTTCCTCATAATCTGTCTACCCAAACACTCTGTTTGCTTAAGATTCCTTTTACTTCCTGTTTGTTACATATGAAATTGGTCAGCCTCTGTCCTACTATGGTGTCCTAGCCTTCCTAAACTGCACAGAGCTTTCAGATGTTTTGACAACCAAAGTATTTCTGATCACCCTGTTTGCATATAGACCTCTCCTGCTCATTATTCTCCAAACCCAGTAGCGGAGAATGTTAGAGTTAGAAGGCCTCTTAAGGATTATATTGCTAGAAAAAGTGAAAAGGAAAGTAGTGGTGAGTGGATGAGGTTTATCTGACTTCTCTACATTCATTTTCCCCTAGTAACACCCCAGTGTCCTTTTAGCTCAGATTACCTGGATGTTTGGTTCTTGTCAGTCTCCACCTCTGGTTCCTACCCTTGCAAGCATCTGTCAGTCTTGTAGTATCCTTCCGATAGATCTCCTTTGGCTTCAGTTAGCCATAGCCAGTTCCTATTACTTGAGACAAATTTAAGAACTTTATGTGGGCCAGAGATTTAGCTCAGTGGTTCCGCCACCTGCCTTGAAAGCACAAAGTCCTGAGTTTGATCCCTGGTACCAGGAAAAAAAAAAAAAAAATACAACAACAAGAACTTCTAAGTAATACAGAAGCACAGAGAGTTTTAAAATGTTCCAAATGTCTTAAACGAGAAACAGTCCAGATCAAGACCCAATTCTGACACCTTTTCAGGACTTTTTTAGTTACAATACCGTAGTGTTGTTTTGATAAATATACTGGTTACCATAACATTTCCTAGGTTATTCCTGTGCTTTTAGCTAACTTAGCAATTATCTTTGGATCTCAGTGTCCAAGAAAATCACATCACTCAATCTCAATTATTTTAAAATGAGAAACACTTATTTTTAATAAATCAAGTTAGGTTGCTACTATAGGGATGACTATTTGCAAATTAGCAGATTAATCAAATCCCCAGTGAACATTGATTAAAAGCAGATAAGTAACCACTCAAGATGTTCTTGCAGAGGGCTGAGCCTGGTGGTGCAGGCCAATAATTCCAGCACTCTGAGAGCCTGAGGCAGGAGGATCACAAGTTCAAACCCAGGCTGGGCATCTTAGCAACTTGGTGAGACCCAGTCTCAAAAATTAAGAAAAAAAAATAGTGGTCAGAGAAAGAAGCTGAGAATCCTGACCTCTGCCTTCCCAAGATTTGTGATCTTAGACAACTTAGTGTATAGAGAGAGCACTGGCTTGGGGATTAGGGGACTTGAATATGAACTCTTTTCAGTTACTCTGTTTCTTCATCTATAAAATTAACAAAAACACTTGCTGCATTGCAAAGCTTACATTTTTAAAAACATTATAAATTATAAAATGACCTTATGGGCAAATCAAGATGAATACGGTTTAATTATTATTTTTTACTCATTAATTAAACGTTCAAAATATTGTCCTCTTTACAGATGTTGTCTTGGCTGTGGACTTACTCGTTTAATGCTTCCACTGTGCAAAATACTGTTAGAAGCTCTCCTTCAGACTTGCCTTCCTTGAATTCCTTTAAATGTTTTCATTGGTGGCAAATCTTGGCCCTTTGTGAGTAGATTTGATTCTTGGAATTCCCCGAAATCATTTCTTTGGGACCATCATTTCTTTGGGACCATGTACATAAAATGGCAGATCAACTAGAGCCATTTTTTAAAATCAAAAAATTTGTGTGGCTATAATATAAAACTGATTTTTAGAGTTTATCTCTCTTTTTTTTTTTTTTTTTTTGGTACTGGGGATCGAACTCGGGACCTTGGACTTTCAATGCAGTCGCTGGAACCACTGAGTTAAATCCCCGGCCCCTAAAACTGGTTTTATATATGATTTATAAACTTCCACCATATCTTAAAATGAAGTTCACTGGTCACATCCTGTGTACCACAGACTGAATGTTTGTCCCCCCCAAAACATTCATATGTTGGAATCCTAATCCCCAAGGTGATGGTATTCAGGGAAGAGAGGCCTTTGGCTATTTTCATGAATGGGATTAGAGCCATCATAAAAGAGACTTCAGAGAACTCCTTTGCCCTTTTGTGAAGACAGCCAGGTATAAAACAGGAAGCAGGCCCTCATCAAAAAGAATCTACATGAAATTTGATGTTAGACTGTCCAGCCACCAGAACTTTAAGAAATATAATTAAATTGTTGATGAGTCCATGTTCCTTTGCTATAGTAATGTGAATAGACTGACACTAGGATAAAAAGTATTCATTATGTTTAATTGCAATTGAAGATATGTTATAGAGTAATATATCTGTACAGTGTAAGAAAGGAACTCTAGACCCTTCATTGCCTGCAAGAATGGGTAAGTTTTTAAAATGTGGCTCAATGTGAAAGAAAATAGTGGCTCAGCTTAGAAGAAAATATCAGACCTCTTCCACACACACACATACATAGACACATCTTATTTCACATATGAAAGCAAATTCCAGATGGATTACAAATCTTTAATGTACAATAAAATCCATATTTCTTGTCTTGGACTTCAACGCCTTCCATGTTTTGGTACTAACCTCCCTCTCCATCTTGTCTCCCTGATACATTAGCCATATGTCATTTACTCGCTGCTGTTCATAAATACCAGGCCATTGCTACCTGCATATTCTCCCTGAGCCTCATCCATCTTTAGTTATTCTTGAATCAGTTATCTCCTCAGAGAAGCCTTTCCTGATCACCCAAAACCAAAGTGGCCTGCCTCATTCTCTCCCTGTTATCATATTTTAATTCTTGAGGGCAACTAGCAATCTCTTCCATATATCTGTACTAACCTAGAAGGACATGGAGACCCTAAGATTGATACTTATACTTCTTCCTTAGTACCTGGATTTTATTCAGCTGCCAGTGTGCCCAGCTAAAAAAGCTACATTTCTCAAATTTCCTGTACAGCTCGGTGTGGCTATGTGACTAAGTTACAGCCAGTAAGATATGAGTAGAAGTAGTTCAGAAGAACTTATGGAAAATATCTGTAAAGAAGACTCATTTTAGAGAAGAGCCATTATGCTTTTTGCCTTCCACCTTTCTTTCTGTTTGGAACAACAGGTAAGGTACCTAGAAATCCTAAAGCATTATAGATGATTAATTGACTTTGAGACTAAGAGTCGTCCTAAGGAAGGTAAATAGAAGGAGCCCAGGTTCCTCCTCATGACCCTGGAGTGCCATATTAGCCCTGGTTTCAGACTTTGGATATTTCAGAGAAAAATAAACCTTAGTGTTTAGCCACTGTTGTGTAGCATATTTGGTTATGTGCAGCTGAATCGACTAAATGGTAATACCATGATACAATGTTAAATGCAACAAAAAGTAATATCAGAGGATATAAACTCAAATATTTATAGTTGATGGGCCAGTAATATAGAAAGATAGATCAGTAAAAATATGAGTAATCGGGGGTGGAGAGGACATGTTGAATTGACAGTGTCAATCATCATCCTCAAAACAATCCCAAACACCATAATCCCAAATGTTGAAGTTCCAAGAGATCAAAATACCTAAACTAAAATTGCTAAAGTTTGAATCCTCCAATTACAAACTCATAAGATTAAATTCCCAAGTGTTGAAATTCTGAAAGCCAGAGTTCTTAAAATTGTAATTCCTGTCGGGGAGAGGGTATAAAAGTAGGGCGAGCCAAATGTGATGGTACATGCCTGAAGTCCCAGAATTCTGGGAAAGTAAGGCAGCAAGTTCAAGCCCAGCCTGGGCAATTTAAGAGACCTTGTCTTAAAACCAAATGCAAAATAGGGACTGGGAATATAGATCAATGTGAAAAGGCCCTGGGTTTAATCTCCAGTACTGAAAGAAAACAATAGGGTAGAAAGGCAAATTCTGGGGGAGGGATTAGTACATTTTCAGTTGTGCACAGGATAATTGATTATGTTCAGCAGAAGGAAAGAAGGAATATCTGGAAGTATGGTAAAGCACTATTTTAGTGTATCTATTGAGGAAGTTTCTAAAGTAGATTAGTGTGTGAGTCTAAGTGGACCCAGTTGGGAAGATCCATTTTCAGTGTGAATGGACATTGTCCAATCAGCCAGGACTGGAGAAAACAAACACAGAAGGTAAACTGCTCTTTCTCTGAGAATTGGCATAGTTTCTTGGGCTGCCTTGTAGATCAGAACTCCAGGCTTACCTGGCTTTGGACTCCAGGACTTAACATCAATGCCCTCCTGGCCTCAGGCTTTCAACCTCCAACTGATTCTGAACTCCCCCTGGTTCTGAATCCTTTGAATTTACCCTAAGCCAAGCTGCCAAGAGCTTGACTCTTAGGTTGATTACAATATGCAGTAATGACCCATCACAGTTTTTGGTCAGTCTTGTCTTACAATGTAGGTTGTTGTGATAATGTCAGTTGACCACAGTTATAAAGCTGGGTGCATACATTTGCCAACCATAGTGATATACATTGACACAATTTGGTTTTTTACCTATTTTTTAAGAATAATTCATCTGTTCGTAACCATTATACCTGAGTGTTGTTAGTACATCAAAAACTGTATATTTTCATTCCACATTTTATTGTATAATGTATTCTATGAACTGTTCTGTCATGTTTTTATTTTTCTGAAATAAAAGCTTATCTAAAATATAAATAAATGTCTAAGACATAAGATATTTATTTGTTTTCTGGAATTATTTTTTTCTGGCAATCATAAATTTAATTTTAGGGATTATGACCTTTTGGGATTTCAACATTCATTCATTATGGCATTTAGAATTGTATCATTCAGGATCATGGCCTTAACTTCATTGAATTGGAAAACTCATGTAGCATTAATATTATTACACTACCAGCATGTGGATTAAGATCTTCCTTTTTTTTCATATTAAACTTCCCCAATCTTTTGTGAACCAAACATATTCCTAGCTATATCTACACTGTAGACAACTAGTTTGTGACCTTGATTTGTAGTATGATCAAATTTTGGAAAAATTCACCAAAGGGGCTGGGGTAAGGGAGGGAGGGAGAAAGGAAGGAAGGGTGTGCTATGTGTATATGTGTCATACACATGGAAATGAAATGGAAGATTGCGCACCAAACAGTAGAAACTCAAAGTGATGAGCACAGAGGGAAAAATTTCTAACTTTTCATTATGACTCTTTTCTGATTAAATTAAATGTATGTTAATTTTGTAAATTAAAAAATTTATGTAGTAGTAGGAAAATTGGTGAGAAGTTACACAGACTGAAAATCCAGTGCAAATGTCACAGTATAAACACAGGATGCTTTTAGTATAATTCAGTCTGAGCAAGTTCAATTTGTTTTAGGAGTATTAATACAAGTATTAATATCTAAAACTAATAAGTACAAACTGGTGGGGAAAAATGCAAAAAATTTAGTTGCAGTGACTTTATTAGTAGTTATACTGAAAGATACGCATAAACATGATGACCTTGTTAGTCTGGAGAGAAAAATGTCCCAGGAAATAGAGCCTTCATTTTGTTTTTTTTTAAATAAAAGATAAAAAGAAGTGTACACTTAGTTCTTTGAGATTACAATGTGGCCCAACGTATACATTTCCTTTAATGTGACACACCCTGTTGTTCTTATTAAAACTAGTCTTAGAGCAGCTCAGATTTTAAAATATCATTGCTTTTTTTTCTATTTCTATCTCAGATATTGCTGTTCTCCTCAAAACAGACATTTGGAAAATGTCCAGCCTTCTTTAACTCAATCTAAAACTACAGTTGGTTCCAATCTGATGAGAAGAAACTGGATTGTGAGTACATTTTTTTTTTTTCTGACACATCTCTTTTCATCTTTTGGTAAATTTGACAACTTATGGCAGTTCTAACATTTCTGGAATAAGTCTTCCAATTATAGAAGCAGCTAATAACGATAATATTATAAAATTATTTGGCTGTTTTGGTTTTATTCAAAATGAAGTCTGTCAAACTTTCTCCTCTTTCTTCCCCCCATCCCACCTGTAATGCACAGCCTGTGCTAGTACAGCATCTGTGCCCAGGAATAATTATGTATAAATAGTCAGTTGCACTAGAAGTCTATCAGATATTTTAGAATAATTCAAGAATAATAATTTTGCAGGAAGGGCATTATAGCTCTTCAGCAAATAAGGAAACCTAATTGCAGAAAAGTGACTTAAGATCACACAATAAATGAGTGAAATATTTCTACTTAAATATATCTCTAGAGCTGTATAGAAGATAAAAGTTACATTGGAAATCTATCCAGTACTTCTAGAAAATTACAAATTCAATGATGCTACAAAATCTGGCATAATCTCCTAGTGGTCAAGATAATTTTGATAGTAAATGAGAGAAACCAAACGTAAAGAATAAAAAGGAATTTTTGAGTTAGTGGAGCTAAGTGTAAATTCCATGGAATACATTGGATCTCTGCATAAAAGGATATAAAAGCTCAGAAATCTCTCTCTCTCTCTCTCTCTCTCTCTCTCTCTCTCTCTCTCTCAACCTTGCTTGCCCCTCTGTTGACTTCATTCCCAGCAGCTTTACACTGGCAGTGACAACAATAATAACCTAGGTTCTATTGGTCTATAAACCTAGGGTGTGAGTACACTGTTCTCTGTGTTCACAAGAAAGATCTGAGGACTAATCACATTGGCTGATTTGGATCAGGTGTTCTCCCTAAAAAGAACACCATGACTCCAGTTGGCCAAGATTAGTTCATATGCCCATCCCTACCCCCAGCCGCTTCAAAAAGAACCACATGGATAGAAGGAAAGGTGGGATCACGGAAGGCAAGATAAATGTTTATTACTCAGAGAAATAGTGAATGTAAGCCAAGTAAAAATAAAGGAATATGATTAAAATACCTCTCGATTTATATGGTGTGGTAAGCTAATATGATTTGATTAAAGGTTGAGAGTTAATATTTTCATTAGAAAAAACAAACCACCAACACTAGGAAGACGACACCATAAAAGCAGAAAACAAAACAAAATGCACTTAGAAATGGTTGACTTTGGGGGGAAAATGACAACTATGTATATATTTTTATATTTTTGGCCCTTAAAAAGCAGAAAAAACAAAAATAAAAACACTGAACATCTGTCGACATTACATTAATCTAAATGTTTAATGAATTCATAAATCCTACACGGGGAAAAGCAATAATTACATTTTTGCACCACCATTTGTGTATTTTGGTTTCATGTCATCTCAAATGCTGATGAGCTTGAGCTAGCTAGGCTTAATAGGATTTTATTAGAAGATATATAATTATTCAGTTCATAAAGAGAAATGGCCTCATACACAGCCAATTTTTCATAGTGTAACTAGCACTCTGATTATTCATTTATCCATTTACTCACTCATTTATTCATGTTATGTGCCAATTATGAATCAGGAACAAGGGTGGATACTAAGATTAAAGAGATGAGTAATTTGTCACCCCACCCCTTTAAGAAGTCAAAGTGCAGCAAGGAAAATAGACAAATGAAAACTTGGTGAAAGGGCCAGGGATTTAGCTCAGTGGTTCCGCCACCTGCCGCACAAGCAGAAGGACCCAAGTTCAATCCTTGGTACGAAAAAAAACAAAAAACAAACTTGGTGAAAAGGGTTCAGAGCTTTAGAATCAGGAGACAGTGCAGTGAGAGATGAGGAAAGGCTTTAGGAAGGCTTAGGAAAAATGCTTTCTAACATGGAAAGGGAGGTGTATTATGAGGGAAGAATCACATGAAAGACTGTGTGCTAAATTTGAACTTCACCTTATAGTTCTAAAACCATAGTCCCCTAATTTGAACCAGGCTGCCAGTAAAGAGTTACCTGGAGAATTTGTTAAAAATATAGATTGAGTATTACTGAAATGTGGGTTTAGGAGGAAACTGTGTTTAAGGAAATTTCCCTATTAATTCTGGAGCACATTCAAGTTTGAGAACCACTGTGAGTAAGCAAAGAGAACCCATTGTAGGGTACTGGGAAAAAGTATAACATGTTTTGAAAAGAAAGCCCCTTTGCCAGTGTAAAGTTGCATTAGATCAGGTCAAAACAGGAGAAAAAGAGAGCAGTAGGACCCCATTGTGATAAAACATCAGAAATGTCAAGCACCTGCCCAGTAGCAGAGGCAGTAGGAGTGGAAAGGCAAGCATTCAGAGACGTTTCTGAGAAATGCAATTTACAGAACTAGCTGATCCCTTTGATGTGGGAAGCAAAGCATGGTGGAATCTGGTCTGTAAAGGGTACCATTGAGACCTGGGAGTGAGCAGTGTCGGGAGCAATGCTACATAATTTTAGGGAAAAATCATTTGGTTAGTTTAGTTCTCCTGCCTACAGCACAGCTATGGAATTCCGAGACATAATTCCATCTTGGCCTCTGGTCACAACTGAGACTTCAATGATCCGGTGATGCTGTCTGTGATTCTCCAGGACAAGAAACATCCTGGGAGCTGAAAACATCCTGGGAGGAACAAACATCTACTCAGTTCCTCCTTGTTCTTGGATTGTTACATCTTGTTTACCCAGGATGTACTGAACTCTCTGCAAGTCATTTGTTACACTTCGTTTCTTCCGATGTACTGAATAAAAGGTGCGGTAAGCTACTGCCCAGAGCAGCACTGATTGATCAGACCCAAAGCTCAGCTTCTTAGTCTCATTTTTCTACCTTTCCTATAATTCGCCTTGTGCTCCCGTGGCTCAAAGGAGAGTAGGACTCACTGCAGAGGTTCTAGTAACGTCCCCTTTCCCTGTTCCCTACAGAGCAGTAAGCAGGAAGTACTGCTGTGTGTACAGCAGTGCTGTTAGCTCCAGGTAAGAATTCAAGATGGAGCTTACCACCGGCAAAAAGCTGAGGCCTGGGACTGGCCTAAACAAGACCAAGAAACTCAGACTGGGAATCCAGGCTTTAAATACTTGCTGGCCACCCCTTCCCTGGGGACAGCTCCTCTTTGTGCTACTTGTGGCTTTCTGCCAGTAATTATCACTCAGAGCCCTGTAGCTAGGTTTTCTTTCTGGTTTTTTAATGCCCTGAAGCCAGAAACTGGTTCATCTGCATGTTTTCAGAACTTACTGTACTGCTTGTTCATATTTGATGCTCACTAACAATTTCTAGGTAAGTGAATTATATTAATTACCTAGATAATTACAGTTACAATGGCCTCATTATATCTGAATAGTCCTTTGGCCTCATTTTTGTGATAATTATATAAATTTGTATTTCTGTAATTCTATACAATTCCACTATTACTTTCCAAAACACATTTTTTGTGATGAGTAAAAGAGTAAGCAAAATGTATTCCTTTCTTCCAAAAATTAATTATTGAAAGATGCCTGCCCATACAGTTAGTGATGTAGGCATCTCCTATGCATTTTAATTTATTTCATCAAAAAAGGCTTAATACAGAAATTGTTTTTAAGTTTCAATTGAGTTAATTAAAGACAATAATTTTCAATTGTTATCTAAATAAGCTTATATGGATCCAGAGACATTATTTTAAAAGAGTATTATAATTACTTCTAAAGTATCTAGTTATCTTTTTTTGTATGGTGCTCCACATAATAAATAAAAGTTACTCAAGTCCCAAAGTAGTCACAACTGTTCTCCTTTTTTTTGGTACCGGGGTCCTTGTGCTTGCACAGCAGGCGGCGAAACCACTGAGCTAAATCCCCAGCCCCTCACAACTGTTAATGGTAAGCAAATAACATAAAGAAAAAAATAAAAGACTTACGTCTACACTTTCATTCTGGTCATAGATTAGATGGTTGCTTTTGTGTATGTGTTTCTTCATTATCTTTGCCTTCCGTGCAGATAAGTCCCCTTTAAATACCAGAAAGAATGTCTTATTTAGAGAGATTTCAAATCAACAGAAAATTCAGATAGCTATAACTTTGCTTTATAATCTCTTCTGATGAGAAAGAGTATTGAGAAGTAAGCAAGCTAATATCAGCCATTTCAAAATACAATTTCCAAGCAGGGATGGCAGTTAACTTTGAATCACCACGAAGTAAAACAGCTAAGGTGTTGATAAGAACTAAGAAAAAAAATTTTTTTTGATCTGTTGGATTCTTTTTTTTTTGGTACCAGGGATCAAACTCGGGACCTTGCGCTTGTGAGGCAGCCACCGGAACGGCTGTTGGATTCTTATATCTACCTTTGGAGCTAGTTACCTAGAATGAGTTTTTACATATGGGTACTGAATTACACCTAAGCCTGTTGACTTTGTTACTTCCGTGTGTATGTGTTGTTCTGTCTTCTTGATGTGGCTAATTAGCCTGAAAATCTATAACTTCTGTTTCCTCTAATCTCCAGGAGATCATCTTATGCTTTCCTACTTGTAATTTATGATGTCTATATGTTAGTTATATATATTGACCCCAGTGGTGTTTATGTTCACTGGACTTGCCCAATCCCTAGTTTTGGTTTCTCTGACTTGGTTTAACCCAAACCTCATATAGCATACTGCACTACCTTGATGGGCTGGTCATTTGGCTGCTTGCCCCCAGATCCATTCATGCTTGGCTCTTCCCATGCTGGTCTATACATCAGATTGTTGATTCCTGCCAACTCTCTTTTCTAGGCTCATTTATCCATGCCCAAAGGAATTAAGAAACAGAAAAAGTTAAAGTACTAGTACTGGTAGAATGAGAGAAGAAACCAGTATATTCTTTCAAACTCCCCCCTGCTTTGATTCAAGCAGCTTTTCCATAATGGCTCCTTTTCTCGGCAGTTGCAGCTACAGGGCTCTGTTAACTCAGCTCCACTGTTGTAGTCTTCAGTCTAGACATAGATAGTAGAGACTTCTGG